CTATTAAATAACATCAATTGTTTTCTATATTTTAAATATTAGAAAACTCACTTGTAGCCATCTTCATATTGAATTAAATATGTGCATTTATTGTTTTAGGTGAGCCATTCACGAAACATCTGATCAGAGCTACACAGACAGACAGGTTCCTGCAGGACATTTCTCTGAAGCAGCTCTGAAGACCATGGAGGCTCACCCAGTGCTGAACAGGATGACGAAGTCTGATGTAGTTCAGGAGCTGCAGTGGTGATGTGGATCTGTAACAGTTCTTGATGAAGAACAATCTGCAGGAAACCTTCAGAGACTGTGACTCTGCTGAAGATTCTCATCACATATCATCTGACCACAGCTGAATCCAGAGGTGTCAAAAGTATTCACATTCATTACTTAAGTAGAAGTATAGATACTAGGGTTTAAAAATACTTTTTTTGGAAGTAGAAGTATCAACTCAAGCTTTTTACTCAAAAGTATACAAGTATTGGTTTTAAATCTAAGTAAAAGTAATGAACACTGAAAAAAGGACATTAATTATAAAAGCTTATGCTGTGCCACAGGGTTCTACAGCGTAACCCGGCCCCCATTTTCTTCTAAAGTCAATGAGTATAATGTTAAATTAAAATGTTAATGTTGAAAAAAATTGAAATTAATGACTAGACTACTTGTTTCAATCATGATCTTCATTCCAGTCTAAATGCATCTGCTACAGTCTGTCCTGCTGGAATATGTGATTTGCATCATACAGGTGTGATGGAGTGAGTTCAATCCAACAGGGTGTCAGAATGATATATATTTACACTTCTTATCCAACCACAATGAAATTCACTCCATCCAAGGGTTCCATGTATCTGGATAGATTATTTATTTATTTATTTATGAACAATGAAAAGATGGAATAAAAAAAGTCAAAGTTAAATAGAAATGAAATAGTTTTTGTATTTTTAAAAAGAAAGGAGTAGAAAGTACAGATAATTGAATTAAAATGTAAGGAGTAGAAGTAAAAAGCAGGCTGAAAAATAATTACTCCACTCAAGTATAAATAAGCAAAATTTCTTAAGTAAAGTAACAAAGTATTTGTACTTAGTTGCTTGACACCTCTGCAATTTATGATCTGCTCTATAGCCCAGAACCTCCCTGGTTTCTTCTTTCTGGGGATTATTTTCAAACCCAAGTAGCCTAAATGCTACATTTAAATGTAAAGTTGGTCTCCTTGTGTTTAAAAACACTTAACAGAAGAATTTATTGTTTTCAAACACTACTATACTCCTCCTGGGGAGGAAAAACAGGAACAATAAATTTATTTAATTTACAAAAATATTAATTTAAAAACACAAATGCTATACATGCAAATAATAAAAAACACAAATAAAATAAAAGGTACAATAAAGGTCTTATCTGCCTGCCCATTTCAAAGAATTAATAGAAAAAATATTCAAAAAAGACAACAAACTTCAACTTCTTCTTGAACAACAGTTCTAATCAATGCACATTACACAAATTCATATTTCTTCAACAATCTAACTTATCATTTTCTTAAATTTATTGAGTCAGCATTTTTATAATCACTTTCCAGATTTATTAATAGAGCTTATTACTACAAGACAAATAAAGGTCTGACTTTACATTGTGTGTCTACACACGAGTGAAAGCATTAATACCTTTGTTATGCTGTGTTAAATTGATTATGTTCTGCACTGATAAAGCATTTGAATTAGAAGTAACCACACCAAGTTGCAGTGTTTCAAATGCTAAACTTGACATGGGCTACATTTTCATAACTACTGCAAGAAACAGCTGTCACGTTAACAGTAAAACTCTAAAATACAACCCCTGGTAAAAAGTATGGAATCACCAGTCTTGGATGAGCACTCATTCAGACATTTCATTCTGTAAAACAAACTCAGATCAAAAACATGACACAATAATAAGGTCATTCCAAAGTGCAACTTGTTGGCTTTCAGGAACACTCAAAGAAATGAAAAGAAAACCTTGTGGAAGTCAGTGAACAGCACTATCGCACCCTTCTCCAAAACTTATTATAAATAAGATATTTTCCTTATTCTAAATCACAGTTTCATAAAGACTGAAACAACCAGTTTACCTACTAAATTCTATAATACGAGAATATTTTTTTTTTCAAAGTTGGGGTCGGAACCCAAAGTGGGGCCCTGAAACATGGGGTCCTGAAAATATTTCCTAAATTAATTACATTTTTGCCTTAGTTGCCTAAAATGTATAAATATAGAATAATAAATATTGTTACTATACCCATTGACCTGATACAAATGTTTATCATCCAAAAATAGTTGTGGCCACTGGGCTACTGTTACTTTGTGGGTCAAAAGCTGAAAGGTTTGGGAACCACTGCACTTCAGAAATCAATTTAATGGGTAATAAAATAATTTGTGATGTAATATTTTCCCTATAAATATTACAAAAACACAAAATAAGTATTAATAAGTATTTACATTTGTGTAGCCTTTGTTTTTCAGGTTATTAACAAAGTTCATGTACTCAGACCAGTAATATTTGGGGTCACAGGTTTTTGCCATGTAAATTTTGCGGGCCAGAAGATAAAAAGTTTGGGAACCACTGTACTAATGTGTTAAAATGCACGCTTGCAGCAGCCCTCTGGAACAGTGAAAGACATTGACCATGTCATGTAACTTATAAAAAGACCAGAACAGTTTACAACAGCAGTTTTGTATTTTAAACCAAGTTCTTCAGTAATGACTTTCAGAAAGCAGTAGGCCTACTGTCAACTGGTTTCAAGCTCAAACAACTCAAAATAAAAGGACACTTGGATTTTTTTATTTACTCCTTGCTTTTTCTGATGACAAAATCGTTTGATTACTGCTAAAGGAAGGACAAACATCCAAAGTTTAACGATGTGTTGTAGTTACTTATTTTGCATCTTAAGTTTGTGTAGTAAAAAACTAATCCGAGTTACTTAAAAAATGCTACAAAAGAACTACAAGTCACATCTTAAATTTAGACTCCAAACATCGAGATAATCTGCCTTTCATAATAATTGTTTTATTCAGTTTAGTAAAGCGTACACTTCTATGACGTCATTTCCTGGCGACCCTGCAGCAGGACCATTTTTTATGTTGCACACCTATTTTTCACTTCCGGGTCACATGTTGCTAGCTTAGCTTTGCCTGTCAGTAATCGAACTTAGGTTCATTTTTTCTCCTCTTGTGTCAGTTTTTTTGGCTTGTTTAGTGGATTAAACCCGTGGTCGGTCATGGTGAGATTGATACATTTGTTTCACTGTTTAATTAACAGAAACTTTTAAAACTATTGACGTGAGCTTCATGCTGCTAGTCATGGTTATTATCACGTTGCTTGTTCAACAACTCTAATTCATTCAGATATTCATTTAGAGTTGCTAAATTAATTGTTAAGTTACTGCAATTCTCTAAAGTGTCACCCCTTTTAATTAATTGTATTTGCTGGAGGAGGGAATTGAAAGGATGTTCGTTTATTATGGTACAGACATTATTGGCTGAGTTTAGACTCAAAGAACAGCAGCAAGAATTGTTTATGACTAAGTAAACATTACATTTTCCACCACATTGTGGACCATTTTAAAGCCTAAAATAGTTTAATTAAGGAAAAAGTTTAGAAAATTCTCATTTATTAACAGATTAGATTTAACTTTAATCAGTTCAGTAAATAAAACTTATTGCTATTATACGTTGTTGGTCAGTCTAATACTGTTTCTGCAGGAATGTGTGGTCTAATTAATGTTTCTTTTCTCCAGCTCCGGTCCATGTTGCTTTGCAGATTAACCCCTCACGTCCTGTCCTGCCGCAGAGCATCCTGTTTGCTCGCAGGTCGGACACCTAATAGTTTACAGCCTCGTTCTCCAGCTCTCACACCACCCCAGCTGAGCTCCCATGAGTCCTTCATACCTAAAATCACATCTCTGGTCAAATACTCAGACCAGTCCGCACAGAATTACACTATGATTTACACCCTGCCACACATTAAACTTCTCAGAGCCCTGTCCAGGCTTAAACTGCTCCAAACTGCAATCACCGGGGTCCTCCTGCCCCCGGTGTATGTCATGTACTTCCAGGGATACGTTACCTTCTTCCTACTCGGCTACACAACGGGCCTCGCGCTGCTGGCTGGTGTCATGCTGTACACTGCCAGCCACTTCGTCAGGAGGGTTGTGGGGATGATGTACCTGGATCCGTCTCAGAGCACGCTCAAAGTTTCCCACCTCACGTTCTGGGGCAAGCGTCGTGATTTCCAGCTGCCCGTGTCAGATGTTATGACCACCATGGATACAGGAGACATGCCCAACGAGATCATACTAAAACTGAAGAGATACAGCACTCCAGAGACCATGTACTTCTCTACTTATTATGGGCGAGTGGTGGACAAACAGGGCTTTGAAAGGGTGTTTGGAAAAATCTGATTATTTGTTCAACATGTGATCGAAAAGAAGGACTTCTTTCAAATATTGTAAAATAGATATGATTAGAAACATGTATTCAATATAAAATAAATTATTAATTTATCCAAATACAGTTGCTGGAGATTTATTTTATTTTATTTTTGACTGAAATATGTCTTGCACACCAGTAATTTTTTTGCTTCTATCAAAATTTACTAACTACGCTGCAATAACAACTAAGCTTGCATTATTCAAATTTCTATGAGAAAAAAAATATCACTGAAAGAGAGGTTAGAAGGTAAACTCTACTTTTCTGGGGAATACGTATAAGATTTGACCAGTTTTTAGAATAACATCATTTTGACGTGATGTCCAGGATTTATTGTCCTGAATACATTTTCCTCAGTTGCTTTGATGTGATGAAAATTATTATTTTTATAAATCAAATTGTAAGAATTTATATTGACTTTTTTCATGATTAAAATTCAGCTCTAAATGTCTTGGCCTTGTGGATGATTCAAACGCATCTTAACTTGTTAGAAAATACATAAATATGAATTACTCAGCTCCCACAAATGCATGTTCCTTTCAAATGTGGCAGCGTTTAAAAGTTAAATTAACAGACTTTCTAATTGTATAAGATTTATTGCCGAGAAGCATTGTTACAACAAAATAATAATTACCAAACACAAATTTCATTATGTGCTAAGTTCATACGCAAATTAAATATGGCAATCTCATTTTAGGCCCAGAAATATATGAAAATTTCAATAAGTTTTTAACCTAAATATAAGAACCTAAATCCAAATGTTTAATACGATATTTTATCGATCCCCTGAAAAACAAATGTTTTTTCTCAGATTAAATTGCATTAAAAACATCACTCATAACAAACTAACCGTTGGATGCCAAATAAGCCAACGGTAGTTCAATAATTGCAACATAATTTCCATATTTGCAGTAACTCTGCAATGATGATGAGGTAAAACAAAAAAACTGACTGTAGTGTGCAGGTATAAGTTAAATGATGCTAAAGTGAAGGACAGTGATTTCTGCAGAGATGTCCAGAGGAGCTTATAAACTGTCAAAAAGTAAACTGCAACATTAAGATATTTGTGTGACTTACTCAGGAATTTGTTGTCTTTTTTAAATACTTTTATCTTTCTCTTCAACTTAATTAGCAATAAGCAAGTATTCTGTTAATCGAAGTGTCAGTTTGTTTCCTGGATGTGCAGCAGTGAACAAACTGAACATCAAGATGTTTTCCAGCTCCACTCATCAGCTGTTATTATGATAAGACTGCAAATTTTATGCGATTTATTTATAATTATTTTTGTCATATGGGTGTGCATTTTGCCAGGGTGTATAAAGTACCGGGGGGTGGGGTGTGTGTGCTAAAAATAAATACTTTAACAGAAAATGACTGGTAAAAATGAATTCCATTAGTAAAAGTCACAAAACTGCTCAGGAAAGTAAATGTTCAAACTCTAAGAGACGAAGTGTTGAATTGGTTCTTCTATACCAAGTTGAGCAAACTGAACAATTTACACATTTTCTTTTAAATAAAGTCTTTGAAAAACTTTTCAATCAGCTCAGTTTATAGGAATAAGTTGACATGACTTGGCTAAATAAATTCAACACTTGTATAAGCAACTCCTTTCCTGAGGAGTTTGGTGATATTAAAATCTTTAGTGTGTAATGAGGTGTTAAATTTTAAATAAAAGAAGTAGAACTATCATTTTGATGTTTTGAATGTAACAAAATAAAAATAAAAGTATTAAAAGACACTGAACAATTACAGATCCTCAAAAAACTAATATTTACTGTAACTGAGTAAACGTTACTATACACCTTTGTTTTCACAAACACAGAAGCAGGAGACTCCAGTTTATGATCAGTTGCCCTAAAATGCAAAACTCAGAAATTGCAGAGATTTAACTAGTTTTACTGATGAACAAATATACAACTATGTGAACACTGCTTCTTTAAGCAGCATATTTTCAACACAACCTGTGATTCTGTATATTGAATACATTAGAAGTTCATGCTTTTAAATCTTTGAAACTTTAAACTCTGCATACAGACCAGACTTAATGCAGAATACAGTGTACATCATCATCATCATCATCACCCACAGACCTAAAGACTCAAAAATCATGCTCTACAAGTGCCGTGTAAATAAATAGAGCTATGAAAATGTCAAGTACTGGATTGTATTGTCCAAACGAGGTTAAAAAAAAAAAGGTACAACAGTGTCATTGTTTGTTTGCTGTGAGATGACTGTAGGCACATCGGGTGTCTGCTGAGCTCACAGCAGGTACCAGGCAGTAAACCCTGCAATGATGGCAACCCAGGTGGCCAGCACCATCCTACAGGACAGGCTTCTGAAAAGAGTCTGGACCAGCTGGACCACAGGGGTGGGATTCCCACTGACAGCTGGAAGGAAGACAGGAGGGACAGATAGGTTAAAAATAAGAATCTCAAATGTGAATGTGAGAGAAGATACTTATTGTTTATTTATTTATTTATTTATTTATTTATTTATTTATTT